TAGTTGCATGTCCAACGACAGTCGTCTCCCCTGACAAGAGTCAAATGGTGACAGACTCAAGTTAACAATTAAAACGCCCCATGCGAATTTAATGCCGTCCTTTAAAAGTGAATTGGAAAGCAAGGCAAGTGTACTGAAGGAAAACAAACTTACCGGCATAAGAGCTGACTTTTGGTATCAGAAAAGACACTAACAAGAACTGAACTGGGAGGACGAAGAAGCTAAACATGCTCGCAGGCGGCCCAAGAAAAATATTAATGAAAAATCCTGCTAGTTATTTGCGTTGCAACGTGTAACAAAGAGATATTTTGTTATTAGTATTTTTTGACAGAGTTAATTATTTCACCGATAGATTTTGACCAATGGACATTCTCGTTTGTTCAGTTTACTAATCACTGGTTATTACCACTACTATAGATGTTGTTTTGGATAGGCAAATTGTTTTTGATGTGCTGATGCATGGTAATGTCAGCACCTTTTAGGCCCAAATGTTGCCAATACTACAAGACAAATTTGATGGCCAGGTGTATATTGTAGGTCTCCAAGTAACCAGCGCACGCCAACCTCAGTATTCATTTGAAGTAGTCGCCTGTGGCATTAGCCGGTCGCTTAAACAGAATCACCGACGGATGCAGCTGCTCTTGTAAATAATTTGAAATTGATTAAGAAAGCTTTTACAGGTCTTCACATAAACGTAACATTTAAAATGGAATGACGGTTCAGACTTTCTTTTCGACAGCTCAACTGCCTCCACATCCCGATCTAGAGATGGAGATTACGTATACTTTTAGAAAGTTGAATTTAAATTTTAAGGTCCTAGATTGATACTTTGATCTTAGCTCCGTAATTAGTATTTTGCATGCACATATCTCAATTAATGCATTTTATTCCAGTAGTATACACGACCCCAGAAGCTTTGTAGCATCTGTTGATATAAATGTATATTGGGAAAATTGTTCTTAGCTCTGTATTTAGTATTTTATACTCGCTCTAAACAAAGCAAAACAAAGCAAGTTTAGTTTAGTTTAGTATTAGGGCCAAAAGGTTCAATACTTTTACAAACTAAAATTATGGGCTACTTTAACGTTAAGTTATTGAAGAACATCCACTAAAGTACAGATGAAGATACATACAACAAAAGTTTTCTTTTAGTTATATTTCCTTCCAACCCTCCAAGAGGAAGAAGAAATCGATAAAACAAAGCATAAAAAACAAAACAAAAAACAAAAAAAAAACGTCGTTTTATCTTTTTTGTGCGGTTGCCCGCGTTAGGTGAATAAACAAATAGATAATTACAACAATTACAGGTAATAACGGTATATCAGATAAAATACTACATGAAGTAAATACTTTAATAAAATTAATTATATAACAATGTTTTTGTTTGTTTGTTCTCTGTATTCCGTTGAATGTTAATCGATCAAGAATATTATGGTTTGTTTTTAAAACAGCTTTGAAAGTCTCAAAGTCTGGTTTACTCTGTGAATATATCGGCAGATTGTTCCAAGAGAGAAAGAAGAACGATAAGAATAACTGTTAAGGCGCTGGACGTGAAGTTTAAGGCTGTCTCTTAGATTTTTCCGCGAAAAGTGTTTAGTAAAAAGAGAGTTTATACGATCAGGTGCTCTATCTATGCCATCAGGTGCTCTATTGTAAAATGCTATTAGTATGCGTGTCATTCTCTTCTTATAAATGTTTAGCAGAGATTTTCATTTCGCTACCGGCAAAAGATCAACAATGCGAGTGGAGTCCTAATATCAAAAACTCTAGCTGCTCTAATGTGAATATCTTTGAGGGCCTAGGGTGAGTTGGGGACCCCCGGAGAGGAATAGAGTACGCAATACTTGGTAGGATACCCTGTGATTCTAGAATGCGGTTATCAAGGCCCTGGAATGCTTTAGTTTCTTCAGTCTCGTAGAGAAACGTTTACGCAATGACTTTATATGAGGCGACCAAGAAACTTTAGACAGTTCAACCCCTATTAAACTGCCACCCTAGGCCTCGGGGAAATGGATAGTGGCCGCCTAAACGGGGTTGGCCGTTTAATAGAGGTAAAAGCAATAGAAAAGTCCTCATCGGGACTTTCATTACAGGCCGCCTAATAGGGATGGCCGTTTAATAGGTGGCCGCTTAAAAGGGGTTCGATTGTATTGTCGATTTGAACACCTAAACATGTTAATTTTACGACAAAATTGGTTTCGTTGGAACTAGATTGCAAAACAGTCGTATTTTTTGCGAATGCAGGCGACGGTCAATATTTGAACGAAAGGTCTGAAGCGAATGTAAAAACGGCGAGGGAGAATGGGGAGAGACGCTAAAAAATACTTCAGGATATCGACCAGCAAATAGGCAACCATGTACTTACATAGATCAGATAGAACCCGACTCTGGCAAGCTAAAAAGATACTATGCCTGTAATCACGGAGTAGTGCAGGGAATTAGAACGTGTACCAGTATGCTTGACTAAGTAGTATTGTGGGTAGCTACCTGGTTCTGCTGTTAACATTTCAAGAATCTAGCGACCCCACGGGTCAATGGCAGGTAAAAATGGGGTCCGTAAGCCGGAGGCATTACATTAACCACAACTCTATAACATTGCCAAAAAAAAGTGTCGGATATTTGAAACGTAATCTAAGTCAAATTAGATCCCGAATGTTTAAAAACGGAATTTAAGTCTTAGAGGATAAAAATGTAACCCATCGCTTCAATGAACTTGACTCCATTATCTGGTGAGTATTTTGCTACGTTTCCACACGTATTGGAGTCATCAGGACTGCCTCCTGTGCCAAACCCAATTCTGGAATCACACCTCTTGCAATCATCTTCATTGTTTTCATATTCGATATTGAACACCCATGTTATGTCAACTGGATTGTCAATTGATACCCGACAAAGTAAGGTATCCGCTGACCCCTATCACGTCACCACATTACGGGTACGGATTTAGAGCTCATCGAGGTCACGTAGTTTCATGAAGCTGACCACTGACCAGGAACTGCTTTTCGATTAGATCGTAGGCTTAAGTCAGGTTAATTTATTGCAGTCGGAGCTCCACCTTTAAGCTTGGTTAAATCTAGGGTTGTTGGGTTAAAAGTGACCAAATGGTTGAGGTGTCACCTTAATTTCGCTGAAGTAAAAAAAAATAAGAAGTTCAATTTCACTAGAACCAAGGTTACAAGCGGCACAATTAAGGTTTTCAGGGCAGCACTAACTTGCCTAAGCGTACAAAAAATGCTTTTAATATCTTTCTGTAAGTTTTAAAATAATTTCTCTTCT